TCCCAATCCTGGCGAGCAGACATGCAGGCATACGATAACGTGTCCCACAGATTTCAGCAGCAACTATAGGCATTTAAATCAATCTTCTGTATTATTATTGTTAACAAAAAAATTGCAAAATTATTCTGCATAAAGTTATATGAAGAGTAACTTTGTACTAACTGAAGTCGATCAAATTTATTTAATCACTGAAATCAAATATATTGATTCAATTATTACGAATGGGGGAATAAATTAAATTGAAAGACCGATAAGTAATTACTTAAGATTAAATGTACCATTCCTCGTTAAAGTCCGCAAACGTATATAACGATTTTTTGAAATGAGCTGAAATCTGCCTTCTTTACATTAAGCCATACTCGTGTTTGCTATTATTCTATTTGCTTTGGCTGTTGAAATTTCATACTCTGGAAAATTACAAAGTTTAAGAGTTAAGAAACGATTACTGTTCCAAAATAAGAATTGAATTGACTAAACTGGACTCATTTATTGTTCTTTAATAAGGTTAATCAGTTGATCTAAATGTATTAAAGCGTTATTAAATTAGTAATTTCTCATTTAGACTCGCCATCGCTCTATGTTGCTTGTTTCCCGCATTGCTAATATTTACAAATTTATATACCATCTAAATGAATGATGTTGATTTTATTTTCGATCAACAATTTTGAAATGATTTCTAATTATTTTCAACTTATTCACCTTAGTTTATTAAACATTGCATATATGAGCGACATTAATAAATATATTATTTGTGGGGAGGTTTTTGAATGGTCAAACTAATCTTTTTAGTCGGTCAGGTTTAATATGCTTAAAGTGAAGTAAAAGATTCGAACGTCTTTATTATTAAATATGATAGGTCTCGGGTATCAGTAAATAGATCTTGATCTAGATCCATTTTTATGCAAATTTTCATTTTTGGCATCCTAATTGACTCAATTGATCGTACTTTATTTTCCTGTATGAGGGGTGCGCGATGGACCTACCCCCACGTGATGCACCCTGGACAACGCATTTTCTTACGGCGAAAAAGTCTATCACTCGGCATTCGTTTTTGACTTCGATTTATTATGATTAGCTTTAAAAAAGGCTATAAGAAAAATCGCCCTCGTAGGGCGAATCACAACGTCTTCAGATCCTCCAGTGGAATGCTGGAGGAATGTCTCCGGACAAAAAGATCCAAGTACAGAAAATCCTACAAACCTATGATGTAGACATTTTCACAATTATGGAAGCAAACCTTTCGGATGACAAACTGAAGTACTACCAATTCCCAGGTTATACCCTGTACAATCTACCTAAATACCGGCAAGTTGCAAGTGGAATTCTAACTGGAGTAAAAGCAGGCCTCACCCCACACTACGATCTAATCAAGAGTATAGGCTCGACACAAGACAAATGTGAAATAATCTGATTAAATGTTTGGAAATGTCAAAACCACTTCAAGATATATGCTGTCTATAATCCACCCTAGAATTATCCCCAACTTTGACTTTTTGAACATCTCACACAAACAGTAGTATTAGGAGACTTCAACGCCCATTCCACCAGATGGGATTACAAGGATACAAACATATCTGGAAAGGAAATTGAAGACATGCTAAACAGCAACCCTCTGGAACTTATTTACAGCAATGAGGATCCGGCTACATATCTGCACTACAATGGAACAAGAACAACTCCTGATTTACTCTTGGCTTCAAGCGACATCAGTGAGCATACACGCCGCAAAATAATAGACGATCCTTGTTCTGGTCACAAACCAGTCATTGCTAGTATTACCATCGGCGGCAAAAGGATGACAAGGAAAGTGTCAACGAAGCTATCATGGAACTTCAAGAAGGCTGACTGGCCTAGATTCCAAAACGTTTTTAAAGAATGAGAATGAACTTCACACAAGTCCCCTCAACTTCAACCAACATCCTGACAAACTTTGCACTGATATCATGAATATTATGATCAGGTGTGCAAAGAAAACGATTCCCCGAGGCAAGACTAAACACTATCGAGTGTTTTGGTGTGAACACCTTGAGAAACTGAAAAGAAAGCGGGACGCCCTTCGCAACACTGCTGACCAGACTGGAAGAACGGAAGACGTGAAAGCCTGGAGACGGTAATCAGCTGTCCTAAGGCAAGCCATCTTACAAGCTAAACGCACTTCCTTCGACAAGTTCATCTCAAATATCAACTATCAAAGTGATAGCCAACGCACTTTCAAATTTCTGAAAAACCTGCAAAACAACAGAGAAAGACCCAAGAAAGAACCAATACGCTTAAACAGCAAATTGCTTACCACCGACACCGAAATAGCTAACTGCTTTGCGAGGTTCTATTCCCACAAGTAAAAGAAAAACCCTTTTGTCAGAAAATCTTCAAGAGATTTAAAGATACAAGTAAGAGAGTTTGGTGAAATTAAGGAAGACGCAACACCGAATAATGTTCTTACTGAACCATTCAGATCTTGCGAACTTAATGCTGTGATATAACAGCTAAAGTGCAAGAATTCTCCTGGCGAAGACGGTATTCATCCACAATTTCTAATTAGAATGGGACCAAAAGCCAAGGAAACCATGCTGACACTTTTCAACAAAATGTGGGAGACCAGTCTCGTACCTAACCAATGGAAAGTTGCCATACTAATACCAGTACTAAAAAAGGGCAAAGANCCCTTACGGCTGTTTTCGTCGATTTCAAATCAGCATATGACTTAATATGGAAAGAGAAGCTAATTCTAAAATTGGCAAAGATTGGTATTAATCATAACATGCTAAACTGGATAAAAGCATTCATTGGACAAAGATCGTGTAAAGTCAGATACGGAAATGCTCTATCAAAATCCAATCTTTTGCAAACAGGCCTTCCACAGGTAGCTGTCACAAGCTACCCTCTTTTCAATGACATTGCCGAATTGGTACAGACATTCACGGGCACCAAGTGCTTACTTTACTCAGATGACCTTGTTCTATGATATTCCGCCCATAGGAAAAGAGCTCAGGAGAGGACAGAAAGTGTTCTTAACATGGCACTTAAATTGATAGCAAACTGGTGCGACAACAATGGAATGGCAATTAACACCGCACAAACTGCATTCCAAACTTTTTTTGGCCCATCACAGCATAAATCCGCTTCTAAGGTACAAGGATACTACAATAGAAAAAACCAATGAGTACACATATCTCGGAATGACGTTTGACACAAAGATAACGTGGAAAAGTCACATTACTAAATAGCAGATCGAGTCTCTAATAGACTGAATGTACTGAAGTGACTTGCTGTTAGCGTGTGGGGCTGTGCACGCTCAACTCTCAAAACCACTTACAAGATGTTTATTCAGCCAATAACGCTGCTTTGCTGTGAGCCACTCATTACAGCCACAGAGGTGACTCTCAAACCACTCGAGAAGGCACACAACCAAGCATTACGACTAATTACTGGAGGGATAAAATCTACACCCATTGATTCAATGTTCCTAGTTACAGGAAGCACTACAACATGTTCCCTTATCAAAGAAAAGGCCTTGATCCTCTTTGAGAAGCTGCTGCTCATTCCCATGGATAAGTTCTTCAACACCTATGAGAATAGATCAAGACATCTGAAAACGCAATCTGGTCTAATACAGAAAGCCATAGAACTGAAGAAAGCGTTACAAATCGATGGCAAACCAAAAAGCCTCTCTCCCCATGACCCATAAGCAGACACTGATGTAGTGTGTTGCACCCAACTGCTCGACCTCTTCAGGAAATCAAACACCCCTCCAGAGCAAATGCGCTCACTGGCCCTTGATACAATCAATGTCAACTATCCTGCAGATCAATGGCTCCAAGTCTTCACTGATGGGTCATACATAGAAAGCCAAGCAAACGTTCGTGCAGGTGTCTATTCTGAACTCTTTTCTTTCTACGCAGCAGCGGGACACAATAGATCCGCTTTTGAAGGAGAAATAGAGATCATCAGGATAGCACTATGCCAATTATGTTGCCTGGATACGAAATTCACCAAAGCGGTGATACTTTCGGACTCACAGTCAGCAGTAAACTCTATTGGAAACAGAGAGCCACCCAAAACAGCTGAGATAAAGGAATGTAGAAAACTCTATGAGCTGCTGAGAGAGAAAAACAAAACGGTGGTCCTACAATGGATTCCTGGTCTCTGTGGCATGGAAGGCAATGAGCTACCTGACACACTTGCTAGGAAGGGGACTACGATTTTGCAATGCATGTACCGGCCGATGTCTTTCCACACAATGAAGGCCTTAATCAGGAGAGAATTCCATACCTCAAGGTGCAACGAAATTAAAGCTCGAACAAAGGAGAAACATTGGACAGTGGCACTCTACGACATTGTCGACTGGCCAAGAATCGAAGCCGTTGCTGAGTTTAGACTACGTACCGGACACGATTGCTTGGCAAAACATCTTCACAGATTGTGACTATACACTCAAACCACATGCCCTCTATGTAACCTACATGAGGAAATGGAGAAGACCCACCTGATTCGATGTCCAGCCCTAAAGGCAAAGACGGAAAGCCAGAGATACTGGGAAGCAAGAAGACAGCTAATGAATTGCTATCAATTAACTGCTATAAATGTACCCCCCACCCATCGGGGAAGCTGAAGTCAAAGTTTAAGGGCTAATGATAAATATCACAAAGCCTGCCATTTGAAATAAATAAATATTTCAGGGCAACCAAACTCAGGTGTTTGTATTGAGACGGATATCTTTGATGCTTTTTTGTAGCAGCCTCACTTAAAATAAATCGAATGATAAAACATGCGCTGCGTATGTGTGGTAAATTACAAGGTTTTCTAAGTTTAGCTCAAAGAAATACTAATGTTGCACTCTTTAGTGGTTGATGAAGGTCCATAAAAATTCAAGCATAAGGAAGTAGTTTGAAGTCGACGGTAAATACAAGGTGACTTATTAATTTTAAATTAATTGAATGATGTCTAAACTTCCACCACTTAAGAATACGACCTCTATGTTTGCGGGCGTCAGTCAAATAGAAGTCGGTCTCTATCGTCTTATTGACGATTAATTCAGTAAATCTGACTCTAAATGTTTATTTTAAATGACTTCTTAATCCGTGGCAGGTAGGCAGGCATATCGAGTTCCATTAATAGTAGGAAATTTTAGGCGAGTGCTACTTTATATAGTAAATTTCCTACCTCAACCCATAAATAATGGAGTAGCTAACAGCGGTTATAAATCCTTGTTCATGAATTAGAATAAACCAATTTTACAGTGTGATTGAAGCCAAACTTTCATCCAAAGTAAGTGTTGAAATCACCTAAGGCTATGCCAAAATAAGAAGCTGCTAAATGTCCCACACCATCTTTTGTCTTCTCGGCCCCTTTGAGAAATATGCTTAGAGAAGTAAGCCTAAAGTCCTGTTATTTGTTGAAAACGGCGAATAAACAGTCACGCAGTGGATTGAAAATAAATACCTGCTGTAATGCAGCTTAAAATCCCATAAATTTAGCACGAATTGAAAATTCATCGAAAAGTGCATAAGTGAAATTCGAAAATGTATCGAATTAAGATTTCTCACATAGTTTAATAATCTTCTTTTGTGTATTGATTTTCGTGGTGTAATAACTTCACTTGATTCGTATTTTGCTGATAAGCGCTAGGTTTTATGCAGATAATTTTCCCAATGAATATTAATCATTATAGGGGAATATTCTCAATACATTTCCTCTACCTCCTTTCAACTCATCTACCATTCGTTGTCTAATTAATGACTTTACTTCGTATATTTATGTATGTATATCTTTGACATAATCTGGGATGTAATGTAGGAGAAAAATACATTTAAGCAAAAATGCACAAAATAGCATATAAAGGGCAATTCGGTTATAGCCAAAAGCAAATTAAGCATGCAAAACTTGAAAATACCGCAATAATCACAACTCAGGTGATGACAACTAGAGATTATAGCTCTGCAGGCAGAAAATAAGCATTGCGTGAATTTGAGGATGCAATCACACTATTGGTAAAATTGTAGCATTTCAAATCGCTGAATTGCTAAGTCAAGGAAATGGTACGCAGATTTCGAAAGGAATAATTTGAAATGAAATTTGAGACAAATAGAAAATAATTATTGAATAAGACCCTAATGCACATTTTAGAAGCAGTTTGTCCTTTTTTAATTAATACACTATTTAATCATTTTGTTAAATAAAACATTATAAAAATCATGAACCATCTAGTTTTGCATGCTTCACATAGAATAACTACCTAGTTAACAGGAAAAGAATTTCTCATTCAATATATTTGGCAAAACAAGTTTTTACGTCCGTGCAGTCTGACAATTTTATTAAGCTATCTAATTTGGATTTTGAGTGTATATTAAGAGATCGTCAATAATTTAGTGAATTACTTATCATCTCAAATGAACTATTACTTGAATCACTATGATGAACTCTTAATCCAGGAGTAATTTGCATATTTGAAACTACGTATATCGACAAATATATGTTAATAGGATCAATTTGAAAACTAATGAGATTAACAGTTGAGAAAATTGGAATTGTGAATTTCGCAAAAAATTGAAATTTATTGGCCATTAATTTCACATTCGGCAATTCATTATTTTTAAAATTTATTTAGTAATAGCGTCTTAATTTTCTGATTTTAATGTTAATTAATGAAAGCAGCAATATGTTTTTCATTGAAAAATCCATTGAGAGATTCCAACAGCAACTAAATGAAAAGAAATCAATACTTAATGAATCGCTTAAGAAAAAAAAACGAACAAATGCAAATTTAATTTGAAAATAAAATAACTTGCTTGCAAAGATATAGGCAATTGTGCAACCTATTTTGCAGAATGACGTAAGGTTAATGGCAACTTTTTATCAAATGAAAGCAATCAAATTAAGTACATTAAATTTATTATTCTAAATTGGAGTTGAAATTCAGTTGAAGGACTACTAAGTAGTTAGTTGACTTAAAATATATCATTCTGTAATATAGTCATCAAAATATCTTGTTGAAATCAATCATACCACAGTTAGACTAACCTCTGCTTGTTGTCGTCGTTGTCGTTACTTGTACATATCCTGAAAGATATTAAAGTTTACAAGTTATAGCACGATTCATCTGTAAGAGCAATAATTTTAAATGAGTCTTGATAATATCAAATAAAGTCTAGTTGATTTAATATTCTTCTGTACAATCGAATACGGCATGCAATGAATTTTATTTTATTACCTTAACGAATTAATTTTTATTTAAATTTGATTGAAGGAGAATTATGATTAGGCTAATGCCAATGTATGAAAGACAAATTGCCCAATAAAGCGGTCATTCTAATTGATAAGGAGAAAGATTACTGTAATTTTATTTGAAAGACAATAATAGTCAAAGAATAAATTTTTCCAACTATTTCATATTTAATGAAACATGCCAAATTAAAAATTAAAAGACATATCTCAATTTTTAGTAACAGTAATATTGCACCAAACAAAAGAGAACCAACTTTCACATTCCGTAATATCAGGTGACACATCTAAATGAATGACACAATGGAGAATTACTTATCAATATATACATGAACACACAATCGAAAATTGACTTACCGCCTTCCTCCCAATAGACACTTACTCCTACAGATGACCTTCCTGCTATTGTATGAAAATGTGTGCTGGTTTCGTTTCCATCTCGATGATAATTGAGTGTGAAAATCAGCTGATCATCTTCTTCGTCTTTAGTGAAGTTTTCTTAAGAATTAAGGCGCCACATTTACGTAGTTCGAAGTACCCAATAAATGAAATTCAATATGACTCACTGCACACGGTTTGCGATTCTCCCAAATCGATATTGCCTCCATTCCATAGACAAAACTGCTTATCGTTCTTCCTCAAATTAATCTTAAATATAATGGAGTAGTTATATTAATTAAACAGATTTATGATGTGATCAATCAATTGCTTAGTTTCACAATTTCACGTAAGAATATTAAAAAGTTAATGCTAGAAAGGGTTAATCAAAATTCAGATTAAAAGTAATATAATTAGCAATATAAGTTTATTATTTTAGTTTATGATTGGAACATTGATCTCACTTAAACTTGGACAAAAACTATCATTAAAATATTTTCATTTAAATGAAAGTAAACTCACTACGTAGTTGCAGTGTAAGCCTCTAATAGAAAATTTTATTGAAACAGAACTCTTTCCCTGTTCAAACCTGGCAAACGGAAACGACACTTGGGGCATAATATTACCTACAATTAACCAAAATATCAGAGCCACTAGTTCTCAAAGTTTGAAATTAATTTCATTATTATAGCCCTTAGTTACTAGCTCATTATTCTTTTGCATATCTAACCTGGTTCAACAGATTTGAATTGACATTTAGGGACAAATTTGGCAATACAAACGCGATCGGATCCAAAGACACGAAGTTCGTCGAATCTTGTAACCTCATTGATTGTTATATTTAAGAAACCTATGTGGGAAATGACGGAAATGGAAATGTGCTTATTAGAAACCATTACCAGATTCTTTAGTGCAGGGTTCACCGATCAATTCGCTACCTGTATAACAGTTGCCCTCTCTTATGTTAATAACAGAAGGGCTCCCATTCTCAACGGCAAAGAGAATCTGAAAATGAAAGCCAACAAGATACTTATTGCATTGAATTTTTACATACGCTAAAGTCTTCTGTTGATTCAAATAATATGGGTC